ACTGGGCAGCACCAGTGGTTGTTGTACCGAAGAAGGACGGAAGTTCTAGGCTTTGTGTTGATTATAGGGGTCTTAATGCTAAGACACATCTAGACGCCTACCCAATGCCCCAAATTCAGGACATTTTAGAGTATTTGCATGGTGCCACTGTTTTTAGCACCCTTGATTTAAAAAGTGGTTACTGGCAAATGGAAATGGAAGTGGACAGTGTTGAGAAGACAGCCTTTGTTACCTCCTCAGGGTTATATGAATTTCTTTGTCTCCCGTTTGGGCTGAAAAACTCTGCTGCATCATTCCAAAGACTCATGGAACATGTGTTAAGGGAGGTTAAAGGAAAGTGCTGCACGGTCTATATTGACGACATTGCAGTGGTCATTTAGGGAAGATGAAAACCTTACTTAGGCTACTAGAATCGGTATACTGGCCTAGTATTCGAAATGATGTGTGGAAATACTGTAAGGAATGCCAATCATGTCAAAGTACAAAGCTGCTACTACCAAGGCTCCTGGACAGTTACAAAGCACTCCTGTCTTTGAACCAGGATATATGCTAGGTGTGGACATTATGGGACCTTTTCACTGAAGCCCCAAGCAGAATGAATATCTGCTTGTTGTGGTAGATTATTTTACCAAGTGGGTAGAGCTATTCCCAATGAGAACTGCTAAAGCATCACGCATTGCAAGAATTCTGGTGGAGGAAATTTTCACGAGATGGGGAACACCGGCGTATCTCGTTTCTGATAGAGGTACACAGTTCACCTCTCACCTTCTCGACCTTTTATGCAAACAGTGGGGGGTAATACAGAAACTTACCACTGCATATCATCCGCAAACTAATTTGAAGGAGAGAGTCAACAGGAATTTAAAACCCATGATTGCTTCATATGTAGGAGAACAACACAAGCATTGGGACAGATGGCTGTCGGAATTCCGATTCGCTATAAACTCAGCATGGCACGAGAGTACAGGATTTTCACCTGCAGAGATAGCTCTTGGCCGTAAACTGAAAGGGCCAATGGAGAGAGCCCTCCAAAAACTTCCCAGTCCTGAAAATCCTGTTTATCCTACCTTAGACCGTCAAAAACTGCTCATCGACATAGTAAGGGAAAATGTGGAACGAGCTCAAGTCAAACAAAAAAAGTACTACGACCAAAGACACAAGTCATGTGAATTTCAAGTTGGAGACGTAGTTTGGATTCGTACCCATCCCTTATCTAAAGCAGATGACGGTTTCATGGCAAAATTGTCACCTAAATGGAAAGGTCCAGCAGTAATTAAAAATAAATTAGGTCCGGTAAATTATAGAGTTTCCTTTATGGATGATCCTGACTCCATAGACTCTTACCATGTACAGAATCTTAAAATTTTTCACGGTTGGGACAAATTTTATATCGAGGGGAGGAGTATGTAACCGACTATAGTACAGTTACTATGTTGTTGTTTTTGTGTGTAGTTCTTCTACTGTGCTCCAGGGGGCCCTACAGGATTTTCTATGGTAAGGGATAAAATGGATGTAGGCAGTAGAGTAAGACATACCTGTTTGGTTAAGCAGAAGCATGGCTTTCACTTACATAACCTTACCGCAAATGGAGTTCTGTTTGAGAAACTTAGGTTTTCAGCTCAATCAAGTAATTGTATCAGTTTATTCTGTGCTGTGTAACTTTGCACTTATTTTGTAAATAATTTATCTAGTGGTGAAATTATGGGTTGTTGTTAAATGCTAATACTAGTTGTTTGTTTGTTTTGTAGAAGAACTCTTTTTGTTTCTGTCTTTCTGTTTTCTTCTTTACTTTGAATGCCTCATCAATGGACTAAGAAGTAACTTACTCAAAACTCTGTGCTCATCGAGGGACAAATCAACATCCAAGAATTGCAACGCACTATGTTTTGAGGAAACTCGGATTGCTGATTATTAATGCTACTCTTGCTATTGGACTATTGGATTTTGTTAACTCCTATCATCATTGAGGACTTCAGTATTCGGATTCAGTGCTCGTTTCGGCTTAGAGACGAGTACTCATTCAACCAGATAAGTTTCTTTGTCCTTTATTTTGATAAATGATAAATGCGACGGTTTGTTTTGTAGTCAAAAAGACTTTGACTGTTTTTCATACACATGCCGTAATGATCTGTGGATTGCCTTTATTTATATAAACATTTGTGTCATTTTCAGTTGAGGGACCCTCCCCTAAATTATTTTGTGATTTTGCCCAGTTGAAAAATTTCACTGGGATGGTTACAATATGAAGATTTAGTGTTTGTGTGAATATATGAACATGTTCTACAAATTGAGGCCATTGCCTTCTTAACTGTTATAGCACCACCTATGGTCCGATCTCCATGAAACTTTGCATGCTTATTACGAGTCTTCTGACACATGTTTTCACCAAGTTTCGTAAAGTTTTGGGTTTATTTGGCCACACCCCTTTTTAAAATGACCCTGTTATAGCTATCCAAAGGACAAAATTCAACATTTTTTTTAAATAATTATTGATCTAGAGCAGGGGTGCCCAAACTCGGTCCTGGAGGGCCGGTGTACCTAGGACTAGTTCGCAAAAGTAGGTTTTTAACATAATTGAGAATATTTAATGAACGATTTTATTGACAGCAATGGTTCTTGAGGCAAAGTTATGCATTATGAGAAGATCTACCAAATGATGTGCATATTGTGTGGATGTGTGAAACACCACGTGATTACAGACCCATAAAACTCATTAGCGCCAACTAGTGGCCAATTTCTTTCAAAATTCTTACACACCTTTAGGGCCATGAGTCGAACATGCCCACCGAGTTTCGTTCCGATTGACCTCCGTTAACCTTGTCTAATAGGTGCTTAAACTTCTTTGGCCAATGGCGGCCATGTTTTTTGAGATATGGGAATGTCCTCATAGACACTTGTGCCAATTTGGACCAAGACACTGCATACCAATTTTCAAGTCGATCGGACCAATGGTTGCATAGTTATAGCAGTTTTTATGTTTTGTCCATCTTATACCGCCACCAAGTAGCAGAGCTGCGCAATTTTTTTTTTTATTTGACCAAAGATTGAGCTTATACACATGTGTACCGAGTTTGGTGAAGATATCTCATTCTGTTCAGGAGTTATAGGCATTTTAGTAAAAGTGGCCCTGCCCCTAACGGACGTTTTGGCGTCCCTATGCGACGGTGAGTCAAATTTTTAACTTTTGAGTCAATTGATATTGACTGTCCAGAGAACATTTCTGCACTGGTTTGGTTCTGATCGGGCAAAAAACCTAGGACTAGTTCGCAAAAGTAGGTTTTGGACATAATTCAAAATTCAAAAAACGTGACCTCCAGGACCCTAAATCACCAGGAGGCAATTTTGTGTGGCTTGACCCAAGGATTCCAAAAATATATTTGAGTCTACGACAAACGGTCTAGGAGTTATGAGCACTTTCGCGTTTTTGATCACTGTAGCGCCCCCTATTGGCTGATTGGGCCAATTCCTAACACATTTCAAGCTGATGGAATGCAGGTGTTTACATGCCAGGTGACATCAGCGTAATGAGCAAAGATCTTTATGCTTAAATAACAGATTATTGTTTGTCTTACCATAATTTACTTGCATCATGTCCATTTCTAAAGAAAAATCTGAAAAACATTTGATTTCACATCTCAGTGTAAACATCTAATAGTCAAGTGACAGTAAAAGTGATTTATACACACACAATGAGAGCACTAACCGTTAGGGATGGGAAGATTCCCCGATTCGCTTTGTGCATCGGCATAAAAAGTTAACGATGCGATGCATCGGTTTAAAAAGTGTGCATCGGCTACAAGTTGTCATTTATATCGCGATGCATCGTTTCTAACATATTTGCATCGGTAAAAACCGATTCATTTATATATAATTACTAGTGGATGTGCAATACTTTTATTATTTAAAAAGTGACCAATAATCTGTGACCAATATTTTATATGTAGATGATTGATTTCTACATATAAAAGTATAAAGATAAAAAGAGGTGATTTCTCCTCTCTAAACGGTTTCTCAAGCGCGCTCTCTTTTCAACCATATTTGCATCGGTAAAAAACGATTTATATATAATTACTAATAGATGCACGATACTTTTATTATTTAAAAAGTGACCAATAATCTGTGACCAATATTTTATATGTAGATGATTGATTTCTACATATAAAAGTATAAAGATAAAAAGAGGTGATTTCTCCTCTCTAAACGGTTTCTCAAGCGCGCTCTCTCATCACCGCTAAAGAAAACAGCCGAATCCCAGACATTTTGGGCGATTAAGAAATCCCGGCCGGACGCATTTTTTTAGGTCCAAAAAGAAGACATGTCCGGGAAAAAGAGGACGTATGGTCACCCTAATTAAAGTCCAAAACCTGACTTGAAATAATCTAACAAATCATTCGGGGCTAAAGCGGTTCCATTAACGACAAATTAAATTCACATTCCCTCACTAATTTGTGCACACTTATTCTTAAGCAGACCTTAATGTCGATCATGGATTAAATCGATCCACCATGACAAACAGCGAATAGCCTATATCTGTGCTGTTTAATGCATTTGAGACGTTGTGTTTTCCTCAGTGCATAACGGACATGTCACGGGTATATTTTTTCATCTGTAAATGTTAGAAAGTCATGTAAACATATCCATTTTGCTGTCAGGAGTGAGTGGGCGAGGCATGCGAGAGCAACGAGCGCTGCTGCGTGCATGCACACTAAACAGACAGAGCGCAATCGAATTGTGAGACAGTGGTAATATCATTATGTTCCTATTGGTCAGTAGAGGAGCTGAGCTTAGCCTGACAGTTAGCCTGCTTTAGACCAGGGGCCAGTTGCATAAATCTAGCCACCATCTTAAGACTGTCTTAAAAAATAGTTTGACCAACTAGCAGTTGCCAAAGGGTAATCAGTCTTACTTTTCCAATACAAATAAGACCAATCTACCTTTTCATAACTGAATTTAAAAAGCTATGACCAGTCTTGAAGAAAAACAATTAGTTGACTAACTTTTTAAGACTTAGTTTCCCAGCATAAGTTGCCACAGTGACTAAGCTTGATCTAGACCTATGTTAAATTTGCTTTATAGAACCAAATCATTTGACAATGAGTCAGACTAACTGAAATAAGCCTGGCTTATTTGGTTAACTTGTTTTATGAAACAGGCCTCGAGGCATTAAAAGTGATCATATTTTCTCCATTACATCATATTGCATCGAATTGTGTTGAATCGAATCGAAATCGGATCGCACTGCATCGTAATAGGGGTGAATCGTATCGCATCGGTAGCTGCTTCATATGTATCTTTAATGTATCATATCGTTGGCTATGCATCGAGATGCGTATCGTATCGGCCTGAGTCATGAGATGCACATCCCTACTAACCATATATCGGCACTCTTCTCTTCACCAGCGGTCCTTTCACAGTCTGTCTGCTGTCTTTATTCACAGCAATGAAGGCTGTATGAACACTGCTCACTCCTGCCTGAACACTGAGCTCCACGATCCTGCTCCTGATGCCCTCAACATCTGCAGCACCGGACCTCTCCTTCTGCTCCAGAGAACGGATCAGGGTCCGAGCCGCCAGCCGGTGAATAGACAACCTGCAGAAACATGGAGGAAAACTGTGAATTATTGTTGGCTTAGAAAAGCAGAGCTGATTCAACTGCAACTGAAAATCTACAATAATTAGAATTTATTTTATTTAACAAAAAACTAACATTTGATATGATGTGTTGAGGATAAAAGTAATGCACTACTTTATTGTGTTATTTACTATAAAAATTACTGATTATATTATTTTTGGAGCGATGATTCAATAACTAGGAAGGGAGATTTTCCTAACTAAATGCACAGATATTAATTCTGGCCAATAATTATGATTATCTTACAGCTGAAAACCAATAAATGGCTGATATTAAAAAGCTACCTTATTCTGTCTAAAAAACAATACACTAAATTGATAATCACTTTAAGTATCACAATATGCAGTCATAAATACTGTATGGCTAACTATTCATTTTACAAATAAAAGTTTAAAGAATTAAGTCCTTTTAATAAAGGTGAGAGGTTGAAGGGGGCATAAATAAAAAGTAATAAATTATACTTAAACTATAAAATAATTAGTATTTAATTACATAATTATATTGGACAACTTGATCCAGATAAAATAAATCAATGACATGGTCCTGGTATATTAATATGATATTATAGTGTAAATTTACCCATTTGTGTTACTTGTACTGGTTATAATTCTAAAGTGAGAGTTACATAAAATTAATTGGCAACAAACGGCTTTATTTCTAGTTTGATCATTTAAAAGGTGTTTTAGAGGTGAGTTGCTCTGAAGCAGGACTGGAGCTGTTGTTTTCAGCGTCTAAATGTGTGTTTGTGTGTGTTACTCTGTTTTCTCAGTTGGTTTGAGGCAGAAGTGGAGCTGGTTTGTTACTGGTTGATCTTTAAGACTGTATTTGACTGTCACTGTTCCCTCAGAGCCTCCTGAACTCTATGAGAGAGAAAAGGCAGATTTTTATTATCTAAACAAATGAGACAGTGTCTGTATGTCATAACATGCTAAATCATCTCACTTCTCCTTTAAGTTGGGCATAAATGAGTGTCCTTGGACCCTGGAACAGCACATTGATGGGTGGAGACAGTGTGTCAACAGTAACATCATCTGGAAGGGTCCAATCCACAGAGATATTAAGCACAGCGGGCTGCAGCGCAAACCTGAGCGACTGCATCACCTGATATAGTTTGAAGAGAAAGAGAAACCATTGAGACATTTGACTAGGAAACATTTGTGCCTGTGAAATCCAGTGGAGAGCTTTACTTTGGGCTGCATGCGGTCGGTGTCTGTGATGAACTGAGCGTGACCAGATCCCTCCCTGGCCATTCCTGTGATGAGGGCGGCACTCGCACCCTCACCAATCCCCAATGAGAAACACCTGAAGACACGATAAACTCTGTTACTGTTAGTGATGAAGATATGAATGATGGACAGATCAAACCCAGCAGACCTTTACCTGTGAGAGTGAGCGTGACTTTTCACCAGATCCAGCACCTCTTTAGTGTCTACCGCCTCTCCATCAGTGAAGACGAACAGCTGAAGAAAGAAAAACAGTCTTAAAACTTTGACTTCACATCGGTACAATGCGTTGTTCAGATGCAGTGAGATGTTGTACCTGTCTGGGGTGATCGGGGTAACAGGGCTGACTGTAAATGTGTTTTAGAGGCTGTAATATCTCTGTGCCGCCCATGTCTGCTTTAATTTCCTTCACTCTCTTCAGAGCCTGATCCATTGTGTCCTGATTGTACTCAACACTCTGACTGCAAAGACACAGGAAAAAGATCAAATCTTCTCTGATACATTTCAATACTGAATATCTATGAATGAAGATCTAGACACTAACGGGAAGAAGGACTCAAAATCAGAGCCAAATCCATAGATATTGAAGTAGCACCCCATGGGCAGACTCTTCAACAGTAACAGCAGAGTGTCCTACAGAGAGACATGGACAGAAAGTGAGATCAAAACAATAGTATTTACTACAGCATAACTATTGTATTTACTTTCTGAATGCACATTACTGGTTTTATTGTGCACTAAGAAATCATGGTTTGTTTTTCATCAAAACATAACTTCTTCCTCTGACCTCACAAACCCTTCTTACTTTTTCAGTCATTTCCCTCCAATCACTTGACTCGAGTCTGATATGAAATGGAGATGGATAAAATACAGACCCAGACTACATTATTCTTCCTCATTAAATATATCGCTTTCCTCAGAAATGTCACAAAACAGAAATAAAATTGGTTGTGAACCAAGTCTCATGATGATTTTAAATGGGTCTCATCTCAATACATTTAAATAAATGCTGTTTTTAACCTTAAATCTTACCTTTGCACTTTCTATGCGCATTTGTGCTCCTTTCTTTTCATTCATCATGACTCCCATACTGCCTGATCTGTCAATCACAAAAACAAACTCGCCTTGAGTTGCCACACACACACACACACACACAGAGAGTGTGTTAGAATCAGCTTCTCTGCTCTAATAAAGTGTGTGTCAGAGCTGCTGTAGTACCTGCTGGTGTGTATCGGGGGTTGAGTACAGCCGGCAGACAGAAGCGCAGCGAGTGGTCGGCCTGCACAGCAAGCTCGGTGACGTAGATGATGGTGACGGCAGCGTTCTGACCTGCCGACAGACACCCGACACTCAGTCTGAACACATCAGGACTCACTGTGCTCTCTTCCAACAGAAACGCCTGCTGACCCGAACTCACAGCGTCATCATACCGATCCCTCGCCTGCGGGATAGTTTTGTCAAATGATGTAAAGTAAAAATATATGCAACTGAGTTGCAGTTTGTATTTGGACTCACGGTTTCTCTGTCCTGCACCTCTGCCACAATCTCCTGCTCTCCGATCTTGGCACTGAAGTGGCAGACAGCAGCATCAGCAGGCAGAGGGAAGACGAACAAGGCCTCCAGGGGGCGCTCTTCCTCATTCACATACTGCAGAGTGGAGGAGACTGTGGCTACATGATCCTGAACCAGAACCTCCACTGAGATGCTCTTCAGAGGCACTGAGGCACACAACCAACACAACAACACCACTAATAGAGAAGAAAACAAAACAAACACGCCTCACAAAGAGAACGGGGTGTGTGACATGCCGCAGTTGACCGTTGAAAAATAATTTTCTTGTTTTTCTTGAGAAAAACAAATTCTGTTAAATATTGAGATAGCAATAGTAATATGTGTCAAAACATTTCAGCTCTCCTACATATAGCAAAAGTTTTCATATAAGAAACAGGCAACAGCAAACAGGTCAGGTGAATTAATACCTGGCTCATTCTTCTCAGTCACAAGACCGCAGATCTCCATTCTCACGCTCCGTTAAACAAAATAACGATTTTTCTTCAAATCGAAATTGAAACTCAAACACCGAAACCGCGTTTATATCTGCCTCAGATCCTCTCAGATCGACACGAAATTATTAAATCTGCGTTTCTGAACGTTTCTAATGCGGTCAAAGTCGCTGATTCACCGCCGAGTCAGAGAATCAACAGTATAGTGAAGTCATACCTCATGAATATTAATTGAGTTGTACGGAAGCGTCGTGCACACGTTTGATTCATGAATATTAATTTAGTTATGTTCGGAACCGCAGTGCTCCGAGTATGCAGTGTTTTGATCGTGTTTAAACTTCAACAACCGAATGGATAATTCTTTGATTAAGGTTTTTTTTTTTTTTTCCTCTCGCCTTTTCGAAAGACAATCATTCCAATTCTAATGAAAAAAATAATATAGTAATTTATAGTAAATACTATAGTGTTTTTGAACCATACTATAGTAAAGTACTTGAATTAATTTGTTGTGGTAATTCTATAGTTGATAAAACTATAGTAATATAAACAAATTACTTTACCCAATGCTGTAATAAGTTTTCTACAACTAGTGTATATTATACTACAATACACTACAGTTTACTGTAGTAAAAACTAAAGTATACTACAGTATTTATTACAGTTCACTATAGCTAATACTCCAGTATGCTGTAGCTTTCATTAACAAAGTGTTGTAAATATTATACAGTATAATACACTTTACTATAGTATGGTTTAAAAACACTATAGTATTTACTATAAATTACTATAGTATTTTTTTATGTATCTATAATATCTCCTTGCTTTTTCCTAATTTTAACCATACTCTAAACATGATTCTGCCGCTGTGTGAAAGTATCCTCAGCGATTGAGGACCAACAGCTTTAGTAAATCACTGACAGACAAACAAAAACCAGGAGTATAAAGTTGTTTAAAAATCGGTAATTTTATTCAAATTATTTTACATTTCAAAACAGCAAAAACACAATAGAGTTTTTATATGTGACCTGTTTCATTTAAATGACTATCTTGGAAACATATTGTTATATATAGTATAGAGTGGGGGAAAATGCCCCCTTGGTACGATTTAATTTTTGTTAATCTAATAACATGAAAACTCTGGACATTTTTCATACTTGGTTTATAATTGATGTCATTGTCACTAGAACTTTAAAAACTACTCTAGACACAATTAACTTTTGTTTCACAGAAAAAAAAAATTACTTTAGAATTTACTGTAGATTTGAGCAACTAAAAATTGACTAAATGTTATGAAACAAGTAACGGATTAACGATAAATGAAACCGTATCTGTTCTTTGGCCTTCTGACGGATCAGGATGTAGAAACACTGACATCTTCAGATTCCCAGAGTCTCTTTGGTCACCTGACATCCGAGCAGGACATTCCCCACACACACACACTGAGACAGATCTCCCACTGAAACACACACACACTCAAATCATCAGTGTGTGTCACAGGACTGAAGATATTTGCTCAAACGTCTCTTGATGAACGCTGACTGAATGAATGCGGTCTGGAATGGAGATCTCACCTTTCTGAGAGCCGATCCATGACGCTGCCTTCATGGCCACAAACTGCCACTCCACCTGCTGCTCTATTTTACAGCCGTATAACCAGATCAGAGCCAGGAGAGTGGCCCATACTGACCCATCCACCTGTGTACAAACCAGCATCCACTGCATTTGTTACTGGACACTGCACACAATCATCACTGTCTTATTACTTCATCACATCTCTCACCTGTGCTGGTTTCTGATTGGTCAGCTCATCCTCCGTCTTCCCAAACACATCAGCCAGTGTGGCGTCCAGATCCCAGCAGCCTGACGCCTTTTGGAGAGAAACCAGCTGCAGTGACGGGTCCTTCTGGAGCTCAGGAGCAGCTGAATAGCACAATTTACATGTTTACTGAAATAACCGTTTTACTGCTCAAAGTGCAATTAAATGCAACTGTCTCAATTATTTATCATGGAGTAATGCTTCTCATTTATTTGCTTTTTTAAAGAATAGCAGATAGTTTTAAAGGAATAGTTCAACCAAAAATAAAAAAATGCTGAGAATGTACTCACCCTCAGCCTGTTCAAGATGTAGATGAGTTTGTTTCTCTATGGGAGCAGACATGGAACAGAACACAGGCTTCTTAGAACGACGGCGGAATAAATTCTGGATCTCTGCAAATGACAACAATAATCGTTAACCATGAGGTGATGCTGCATTTGTGTTGCACATTTAGTGAGATTAAGTGATGCTGTGTATTCATTGTTGCATCGCGGGCCGGCTTGAGTGAGCGGCGGCGGGCGGGCTTGAGAACGGGGCGGCCGGCAGATTCGACGAAGCAGCAGGTTGCGGCAACCACAGGCTGGACTCCGCTTCTTTCCATGGTGAAAGCCGATCCGGCAATCCACAGCGCGAAGTTTATGTATTTCCTCAGCAACCAGTACGGATCAGCTCTAGGCATGACGAAGCGGATATCGTCCTCTTTTGGAAGGCCAAACAAAGTAGTTTCGCTTTCACAACGAAACACACAGCGTCACACACGGCGGGCTAGAGTGGGAACGGCCGGCGGGATAGAGTGAGCGGAAGCTGGCGGGCTTGAGGCAACCACATGTGACGATTTAGGGATCTTATCTATTCAGGAACAGCTTGTAACACTCCAAAGAGAAAGGAAAATTTGAAATTGCATCATATGACCCCTTTAAGTCTTTAGTATGACTAAAGTTCAAGATCAAATCAAATTTTGACTGGTAGTATGTGTCATTACATACAAATAACAGACTGTGGTTTTTCTTACCATATGCTGCCAGGGAACATTTTAGAAGTAAATCTGAAAAACATTTGATTTCACATCTTAATGAGGTGAACACATCAAATGTAAACATCAAAGAGTCAAGTGACAGTAAAAGTGATTTATACACACAATCAGAGCACAATTTACATGTTTACTGAAATAACCGTTTTACTGCTGAAAGTGCAATTAAACGCAGCTGTCTCAATTATTTATCATGGAGTAATGTTTGTCATTTATTTGTTTTTTTTAAAGAATAGCATGTAGCAATATATAACCCATTTTACAGGTTTACATGCAAAATCAATAACCCGGCAACGCAAGTAAACCGTGTTTACAAGACTTTATTAAAGACACCCTGCGGTCACTAGTTATAAATATACTAGGTTAGATATCATCTTTGACAATGTGACACATTTAAACATTTTTCCAGGGAAAATAATTTTTTCATGCCTTTAAATGGCTTGAATACTACTCTACACCCCTCACCTCATGTAGTATATTCATTTAGTACAGCTATTTCAAAGCTTATTTTTGACTTTAGTTTTAAGAAGAAAATGCTCAGCAATGGTGTTGACTGATGAATTTGCACATGGTTTGTCTGTAACCATATTAAAAACACAAGAAAGACATGTAAACAATGTTAAAACTTGACAAAATGTCAGAAGGAAACCTGCACAGACTCATTCTCCTCACATATGTGAAATTTCTATGACTCTACCAGTTGTCCTATGGCTGCACGAGACGAGACGAACATATTTTTATAAAATTTCTTGGGTCAAAAAAAGAGTGGGTAGTTTGAGATATATTTCCTCCCCTCCTGCTGCAAAACACTTGGTGTGGCTGAATGTGCTTCAATTTGCCACAAGGATGCTTTGTGCTTAAATAACAGATTGTTGCCTTACCACAATTTGCTTCCATCAGGGAATCTGAAAAACATTTGATTTCACATCTTAATGTAAACGTCAAATAGTCAAGTCAAATTAAAAGTGATTTTATACACACAACTAACACAACAGCACTAACCGTATGTTGGCACTCTTCTCTTCAGCAGGGGTCCTTTCACAGTCTGTCTGCTGTCTTTATTCACAGCAATGAAGGCTGTATGAACACAGCTCACTCCTGCCTGAACACTGAGCTCCACCATCCTGCTCCTGATGCCCTCAACATCTGCAGCACCTGACCTCTCCTTCTGCTCCAGAGAACGGATCAGTGTCCGAGCCACCAGCCGGTGAATAGACAACCTGCAGAAACATGGAGGAAATTTGTTGGATTAGAAAAGCAAACAGTTGATGTCATTCCAATTTAATGTGTTTCTACATGTGTTTGTGTGTGTTTACTGTGTTTCCTCTGTTGGTTTGAGGCAGAAGTGGAGCTGGTTTGTTACTGGTTGATCTTTAAGACTGTATTTGACTGTCACTGTTCCCTCAGAGCCTCCTGAACTCTATGAAAGAGAAAAGGCAGATTTTTTTAATCTAAATGAAAGACACTGGTTTTTAATTCTCATTAAAGAAACACATGCTAAATCATCTCACTTCTCCTTTAAGTTGGGCATAAATGAGTGTCCTTTGACCCTGGAAGAGTACATTGATGGGTGGAGACAGTGTGTCAACAGTAACATCATCTGGAAGGGTCCAATCCACAGAGATATTAAGCACAGCGGGCTGCAGCGCAAACCTGAGCGACTGCATCACCTGATATAGTTTGAAGAGAAAGAGAAACCATTGAGACATTTGACTAGGAAACATTTGTGCCTGTGAAATCCAGTGGAGAGCTTTACTTTGGGCTGCATGCGGTCGGTGTCTGTGATGAACTGAGCGTGACCAGATCCCTCCCTGGCCATTCCTGTGATGAGGGCGGCACTCGCACCCTCACCAATCCCCAATGAGAAACACCTGAAGACACGATAAACTCTGTTACTGTTAGTGATGAAGATATGAATGATGGACAGATCAAACCCAGCAGACCTTTACCTGTGAGAGTGAGCGTGACTTTTCACCAGATCCAGCACCTCTTTAGTGTCTACCGCCTCTCCATCAGTGAAGACGAACAGCTGAAGAAAGAAAAACAGTCTTAAAACTTTGACTTCACATCGGTACAATGCGTTGTTCAGATGCAGTGAGATGTTGTACCTGTCTGGGGTGATCGGGGTAACAGGGCTGACTGTAAATGTGTTTTAGAGGCTGTAATATCTCTGTGCCGCCCATGTCTGCTTTAATTTCCTTCACTCTCTTCAGAGCCTGATCCATTGTGTCCTGATTGTACTCAACACTCTGACTGCAGTGACACAAATAAACATCTCATCTCCACTGACACATTGCAATACTGAATATCTACTGTATGAATGAAGATCTAGACACTAACGGGAAGAAGGACTCAAAATTAGAGCCAAATCCATAGATATTGAAGTAGCATCCCATGGGCAGACTCTTCAACAGTAACAGCAGAGTGTCCTACAGAGAGACATGGACAGATATTCAAGTGCGTCTCATCTGAATATACATCAACAGAGCAAAAAGCCCAACATTAAATCTTACCTTTGCACTTTCTATGCGCATTTGTGCTCCTTTCCCTTGATTCATCATGACTCCCATACTGCCGGATCTGTCAATCACAAAAACAAACTCGCCTTGAGTTGCCAGTGATTTCATCAATTCTTCTGGGAACTCTGGGTACAAACTTATCATGACCACTGGGTCCCTCATCAGAGAACCTGAAAAACAGAGAAAGAGTCAGTGACACCTTCATCACTCAATCCTATAATCCCAGTTCAATCCCATAATCCTCTACCTGGTGGAGCAGTGGCCACTCCTGCCTCCACTATAGCAGAGGGCTGATGGGTATCCTGATAGTACACAAACAACTCAACGTCCTTATCAAACATGTGACCAGGACTCAGATTCACCTGCACACACAAACAACACATGCATAAAACTGCTCTGCTCACACATGAGTGGAGGAGACTGTTGCTACATGATCCTGAACCAGAACCTCCACTGAGATGCTCTTCAGAGGCACTGAGGCACACAAACCAACACAACAACACCACAAATAAACTTTCTGACTCTTCTGAATCATAAAGAGATTTTTGTGGACATTCTGTAGGTGGAGTTGATGAGCTTGAATTTAAAGATGAACTGCGATTTATGAAGTGGGACGCATTTAGGAACATTTTTGAGTCGGGGTTCAGCCTTCAACTGGTAGGCAGGAGCCGCCACAGGCAGGTCAGCTGACCACCACAGTCAGTTAGGCCAGTGGTTCCCAACCCTGGTCCTGGAGGCACCCCAACACAGCACGTTTTGCATGTCTCCTTAATCAAACACACCTGATTCAGGTCATCAGCTCATTAGAGACTCCAAGACCTGAAACTGGTGTGTCAGAGGTCCTGGAGGGCCGGTGTCCTGCAGAGTTTAGCTCCAACTTGCCTCAACACACCTGCCTTTAAGTTTCTAGTATGCCTAGTAAGAGCTTGATTAGCTGGTTCAGGTGTGTTTAATTGGGGTTGGAGCTAAACTCTTCAGGACACCGGCCCTCCAGGACCGAGTTTGGGCAGCCCTGTCTTAGAGTCTCTACTAATGAGCTGATGACCTGAATCAGGTGTGTTTGATTAAGGAGACATGCAAAATGTGCAGTGTTGGGGTGCCTCCAGGACCAGGGTTGGGAACCACTGAGTTAGGCAACTACTGAATTAAGACAGATTTGCTAATTCGCTATTGTTTATTAAACTCTCGCATTATCAGAAAAAAACAAGAACGTGTTGATATAATTAAAATATCGGAGTTTAAAAAAAACAAAGGAGAAGAAGACTTGAGTCCTTAATGACATCTTGGTTAAAATTGCGTTATTAATGGGTTAAATACTGAGACAAATCGCGTGGAAAACACCTCCGCTCTCCTACTTTTAAAAAGTTTTAATTCAGGAAGCAGGTAACATTACATGTAAATAGGTGAATTCATACCTGGTTCATTTTTCTCAGTCACAAGACCGCAGATCTCCATTCTCAGGCTCCGTCTGTTGCTTCAAATCGAAACTGAAACTCAAACACCGACCCTGCTGCCTTGAAAACGGCCTTAAATCTGTACAGACTGACTCATTTAACTATTAAATCAGTGTTATTTATAAGTTTACAATGATGTCAAAAGTTTGGGGAAATCACCTCTCCGGTATCAGTCAGAAGACCAATAGTAGACAGTGAAGTCATGCCTCATTAATATTAATTATTTTGTGCGCAGACTTGCCAAGAGCTACTGGAGGGCTGTGCCCACGTTGATTCATGAATATTAATTAGGTTCTGTTCGGAAGCTGTGCACTGGTTTGATCGGTTAAGTTTCAATGCAACTTCCGCATGGATGTTTCTTCAGTTAAGGGGATTTTCCTCTCAATGCAAGTGTTGAAATAAGGGGATTTTCCTAATTGTAAGTGTTGAAATCCATATTTTGCACTCTAAACATGATTCTGCTGTATTAAAGTATCACCAGTGTTAGTGATTAAGGACCAACAGCTTTAGTAAATCACTGACAAAACTAACAAAAGTTTTGTTTAATTAAAATATATATATATATAATTCGATTCAAAACAAAAGTTGAACAGAACTATATGTGACCTGCTTCATTTAAGTTATACCTTGAAAACATTTGATATATTTAGAAAACCATTTTATGACTGTATTTTTACTTTGGTACATAATACTCAAATGATGGTGCAAGCTAAAATATCTAGAATTTGGTGTTGATTTTAGCATATAAGATTGAACATTGATTAAATGTTAAGAATATTTTAGCTCTTCATCTTTCGATGCCATCCGACTATTCTCAGTCCTTGCATGGGCCCATGGAAAGAATTATGAACATGACGCCAATTGTCTGTTCACAAACGTCTTCAAAGTTTATTATTGCATCCGTAGATTATATAGTTACATTGCAAGGGGTGGTGCAGTGCTTTTATCCAATACGAATTATACACTACTACATCATATATGAATGTAAGGAGAAAAATAAGTACATATAAAGGAATACATTTGGCAAACAAAAGGATTTTCTTCCAGCTACACCTCTAGATCCAGATGGGTCTGTTCTGATTGGATTCAGTGAACCCCCCAACTGGAAGACCCTTGTCCTTATATGAACATTTGAACTCATGAGGAGATATACATATATGCGCATGCGTGTATAACATAAGGGATAGAGAGAGGTAAAGACAATAGAGAGGAGAGAGAGAGAAAGCACAAACGGGAGGCGGGAGCGAGACAGAGAGAGGAGGGGGGGAGACAAGGAGCACAAGAGGAGGGGAAGCTCAGAGAAGCAAAGTCACAGGAATATTAGGCAGAAAGCGTGATATCATTTAACATTAAACAAGTAGCAAAATAACAGTAAATGTAATAGTATCTGTTCTTTGGTCTTCTGACGCATCACTGAAGATGTCAGTGTCTTCAAATTCCCAGAGTCTCTTTGGTCACCTGACATCCGAGCAGGACATTCCCCACACACACACACTGAGACAGATCTCCCACTGAAACACACACACACTCAAATCATCAGTGTTTTTTATCAAAAGATATTTGCTCAAACGTCTCTTGATGAATGCTGACTGAATGAATGCGGTCTGGAATGGAGATCTCACCTTCCTGAGAGCCGATCCTTTACCTCTCTCTATCCCTTATGGCCACAAACTGCCACTCCACCTGCTGCTCTATTTTACAGCCGTATAACCAGATCAGAGCCAGGAGAGTGGCCCATACTGACCCATCCACCTGTGTACAAACCAGCATCCACTGCATTTGTTACTGGACACTGCACACAATCATCAGTCTTATTACTTCATCACATCTCTCACCTGTGCTGGTTTCTGATTGGTCAGCTCATCCTCCGTCTTCCCAAACACATCAGCCAGTGTGGCGTCCAGATCCCAGCAGCCTGACGCCTTTTGCAGAGAAACCAGCTGCAGTGACGGGTCCTTCTGGGTCTCAGGAGCAGCTGAACACACACACACACACACACACACACACTTATATAAAGACAGGAAAGCCAACTGGAATTCACTTACTTGTGACTTTTAAAATCTCAATATAGCAGCAGCAACAGTTTAAAAAAATTAAGTGACAGATCTGACCTGAAGCTCAATGAAAAACACATTCAGATTTACAAATATCAAACTATTAGTTATTGCTTTCTGGCAATAATACTGCACAATATAAGGAGATAGATCGTAAATTAAATGTCCACGAATGTTAGATTTGTTAGGGTCTATGCGAACTAGGAATGTGTAAAAATGTGTCCTGGAACCTGGTATGAATCAAATCTAGTCATCAACACTTCTTCTTGGTATCTCTGTTCATGCGTTTTTGTATTCACCGCCATTACTTTGACCTGCTGATGGTCATAAATGTAGTGGTTATGATGTAAATCCAACATGTTCAGTGTGATGAAAGAATTACTCTGCAAATTTCAACATCTCTTCTCTGACTCAAGACATCTTTTACACAAGTTTGCATTAAACTGTTTTCCCCCAAGATGATAACTAGACCCACGCACATGCAACACGATGAGGTCATGTGACTACAATCTAGCATGAATTAATTTTTAATCATTTAGCGTGGAATAATGCCTTTAACTTACTTTTTTTTTTTTTAAAGAACAGTAGGTTGTATACAGTGTATAATCAGTACGTAGTGACCTAGTGAACTAGTATTTAATTCCGAGTATAACTATTGCGTCAATTTCATGTCATGTTTGATAGTTAGTGTGTTTGTTCGTGTGTGAATATACCCCTTTGTTTGCCTTCAGATTCTACCTGTAGAGACAGCACAGCCCCTTCATTACTATCTCTGGTAATGACAACAAACATTAACCATGAGGTGACTTTGCCTCAGTGTTTCAAACATAATTTAAGTTTGTGTAGGAGCGAGTACCGCTCAGATTTTTAAGCCAAACTAATTTATTATGCAGCTCCTAAGTATATGACTGATTCTTCCATTAAAGTTTTTAAAACTTTTTCCTAATTTAATATCTTTTGCACGCGAAATTGAGGTTAGATTCCAACTGCAATCAAATCTGAACATATTACACGTTGAATAGCTGCCCTCTACTGGAGAAACAAACAACCTGAGAAATACACTTGACAGCTAAAAAACTAAAGACATGAAGACATGTTGACCAGAGATTTGCGTTGTCATACAGTTGCCAAACAGTATTTGGACACTTAAACCACATGAAGGAATATCACTGCATTAGATATGTTACCAAACTAAAAGTCATATGCATTAGTGTTTTATACCAAATATGTTTACTGAATTTAGACAAAAATATTAACAACAGTTGCTATCAATAATAAAAGCGTATACAGGTGCATCTCAATAAATTAGAATGTCAGGGAAAAGTTCATTTATTTCAGTGTGCATTGAATTTATTGAATACACGAGTTTCACAATTTGAGTTGAATTACTGAAATAAATGAACTTTTCCGCGACATTCTAATTTATTGAGATGCACCTGTATATATATATTATATACATATATACACATACATAACATATATATAATTTATATATTTACATATTTGTTTTACATTTGAATTAAAAATAATTCAATAACATTTTATTGATTTGTTTTCTATCATGTTTTATGGATAGGACTGAACGGCAATCATTAGAAAGTTCTGAGACGCTCAAAGCCTTATGACGCCACAGAGCGCGTTCGAATAGAACTCTCGGGGTTTATAAAGCGCGTGACATTCTTACATTCTTTGTGGGTTTGTTGTAGTGGTCAGTGAGTTTTCACAGCGATGGGACAGCGAGGTACTAAAGTGAGTCCGATGACGGTTGGCGAGGTGTACGATCAACATCTTAGTACACCCCCAAAACCCAGCACCAACACGGCGCTTCAACATCCTCATCCCCGCGATGAGACCCCTGTTGGTGCTGGAGGAGGA